AAGCTTTGGGACCCTGCACCCGTGTGAGAGGCCCGGAAGAGGCTCCTGGCTTCGGACCAGCATAGCATCGGCCGTTGCGCTCACTTGGGGAGTGAATCATTGGACGGAAGATCTTCCTCTCTGTATATCCGCCTTTCCAATAAAAAATAATACAAATAAATCTTTAAAAAAAAAACACTAAATGTTTTGATTATTAAAATGGGCATTACAACACATCATGTTAAGCCTCTGCCTGCCAAGCACCAGCATTCCATACAGGTACCAGTCCAAGAACTGGCTGTTGCATTTCGGATCCAGATCCCTGCTGCAGTGCCTGACAAAGCAGCAGAAGACAGCTCAAGTGCTTGGGCCCCTGTGCCCACACGGTGCCTGGTTTTAACTTGATTCAGCCATTCATTGTTGCAGCTATCTGGGAAATGCACTGGCAGGCAGAAGATTTCTGTCTGCCCCCTTCTCTAGAACTCTGTCCTTCAAATAAATGTATAAGAAACAATAATTCAATAAGCTAGAAAAAGCACAACCGAAAAATTTAAGAAAATAAAGTAAAAATCAGCAATGCAGAAAAATGGAAAATCATTTAAATAAATTAATCTCAAAAGGATTAGTTAAATTCACAGAGTAGGAACAGATGCCCAGTGGCTATGACATCACTGTTCCAACTTCCTCTAATGCAAACCCCACAGCAGCAATAACCACTCCAGGACTGGGGTTCCTGTCATTCACTTGGGGGGATACCTGTTGGGTTCCTTCTCAATTGCCTGCCCTGCACACTTTTGGGGAGTGAACAGTCCAGGCGACCACCCTGCTTCTCAAACTAAAATTAAAAAGTAACTTTAATTTTAAAAAAAAGCTACAATCAGACATCACAAGATTTATAAAAAAAGGTATTCACCATAGTGTTGTTTATACTTTAAAAATTAAAGATAATTTGGGCCCAGAGTGGTAGCTTTGTGATTAAAGTCCTCACCTTGCACACTCCAGGATCCCACATGGGTGCTGGTTTGTATCCTGGTGGCCCCACTTCCCATCCAGCTCCCTGCTTGCGGCCTGGGAAAGCAGTGGAGGACGGCCTAAAGCCTTATGACCCTGCACCTGCATGGGAGACCTGGAAGAAGTTCTGGGCTCCTGGCTTTGGATTGGGTCAGTTCCTGCCACTGCGGCCACTTGGGAAGTGAACCAGTAGATGGAAGATCTTCCTCACTACCTCTCCTCTTCTCTGTATATCTGACTTTGCAATAAAAAAAAATAAATCTTTAAAAAAAAGTCAATTGCAAGAATTTTTTTAAAAAGATTTATTTACAGTATCTTCTTTCTTAATCTCAATAAGGCAATGAAATTCCACCTTACTCTCAAACTCCTCAAATACTTAAGCCTGCATTTCATTTCTATAGCAAAACTACCTCAGACTTTAACTTTTACCCCTCCCCCATAAAATATTCCAGAGAAATTCAGATCAAAACCCAGCAACTAAAAATACAAGAGACCATAAAAGAATGTTTTCTGTAAAGTTGAACAGGTAAGATCTTTGAACAGAAGGCTAAAGATTAATATCTAATTCTGTGTAAAAAGTTCCCACAACTCAACAAGGGAACACAGACTGGTAAAGTCTTTTTGAAAGGCTATTTGGCATCTAACAAAACTTAAAATACACTTAGGAAATCTTATTAGAAAAGTATTTACATACATACCCATGTGCACAAAGATTGTTGTCAAAGTTAGAAATAACAAATTATTATGAATAATTAAATAAATACGTTCTAATGGAATTTCTTACAACAGTTAAAGACAAGGCACCACTATGTCTATCTATTTTATATATATAGATAAATATAGATATAGAAAATATATCAGTACCAGATTTTTAGATTTTAAAATCACTGTGAAGACTATGACATCCAACAGATACTTATTTTTAATTTCACAAATAAAACTGGTAACAGCAGATAGCTAACCCTAGACTGGCCTTTGAGAACAAACTGTTCAAAATCCTGAAGACTTAAAAGTCTTGAACATTGCTCAGTTTCAAGTTTTAATCAAAAACACAAAATTGGGACCAGCATTGTGACACAGCACATTATTAACCGGTCATCTGCAACACCAGAATCCCACTCCAAAAAGTGACACACATCCCAGCACCTGGATAATACAACTGAGGAAGCAGTGGAAGATGACCCAAGTGCTTGGACCCCTGCCACCCACGTAAGAAGTCCTGGAAGAAGCTCCTGGTCCCTCTGGCTTTGACCTGAGCTCTCTTGCTCTCTCACTCGCTCTTCCCTTAAAACTCTGTACTTCTTTTCCTTAAAAAAAAAAAAAAAAAAAGATTTTTATTGGAATAATAGATCTATAAAGTGTAGAGACAGAAAGATTTTCCCTTCTCTGGTTCACTCCCCACATGGCCACAATAGCTGGAGTAGAGCCAATCCAAAGCCAGGAGCCTCCTCCCGGTCTTCCATGCAGACGCAGGATCCCAAGGAGTTGGGCCATTCTTTACTTCTTTCCCAGGTCACAGGCAAGGAGTTGGATGGAAAGTGGAACAGCAAGAACACAAACCAAATAAGTAAACCTTCAAAATTTCAGGTTGGGCCCGGCACAACAGCCTAGCAGCTAAAGTCTTTACCCTACACACACTCCAAGCTCCCATACAGACATATGTTCATGTCCCAGCAGCCCCGTGGAGAGACCCAGAAGAGGCTCTGGACTCCTGACTTTGGAACAGCGCAGCTCTAGCCATTACGGCCACTTGGGAAGTGAATCAATGGATGGAAGATCCTCCTCTCTGTCTCTCCTTCTCTCTGTATATCCGGCTTTGCAATAAAAATTAATATATATGTGTGTGTGTGTGTGTGTATATATATACATATATATATATAATTTTCAGAAAGTCAAAAGATGTTACATTTGAACATTATTCTTTTGATAACCAGTAGTGACAGATAAGAGACAGGAGGAATTTAACAGTACCTACATACTTCATTCCTGGCTATTAAAATAAATACTGTTTTAAAAGCATAAACGAATGTGACCGTTTCCTAAATTAACTCCTTTAAAAAGTACAAATGAAAAGAAACATAAATTATCATTAATCATGTTCACTTCAAAATCTGCCTATCAAAAAACCTCAGAAGACCCACAGGAATCCCTGGAGAAGATAACTCCCCCCCCCCCCCACTCCTACTGCTGCTTTATGAATTCAGATGTGCAGGCTCAGCACTAAATATCACACAGTCCAAAAGGATAACTCTAAACAGAGGTTCAACCAGCAGGCCTTAGGGGAAGTCAAATAATGCAGGAGTTCTCCTTGTTACAAAACAAACAAAAACAGAGGCCTGGAGAGAGAACCAGGAAGCCAAGCAGTGGACACTAACCCGCCAGGCTTCCCACCTGAACCCTGCTCCACTTCATCCACCCAGCCAACGCGACACCCGTCACCTGTACCATGACAGTGCTGTAGCCAAGCATCAGGCCCTATTTTTCCAGAGCCCGCGGAAGGGAAAAGACAACAATGGCCTATTTAAGGAACACACAAATTATGCTGAATTTAGCTCAACCTTTTTCGCAAAACCTGAAAATCAGTCTGAGAACCTACAGGTCTTACAGGCCAAAAACATGAAGTGCCAGCTTCAGTAGTGGAAACGCAGATCCTGCTAGCCCTCAGGCTAACTAAGCGCTGAGGGTGCACGTGTGAACCCATCGCCTCACAACCGAATCCCAACTAGCAGCTGGGGAAGGCCTTTCTTCCCGCAGATACAGGGCAGACACAGCCGTCTAAACCAGCACTCACGCTGTACTAACCGCCACAGACCAGCAGGCAAAGTCGGCAAGCTGTAACCCGCTTTAAAAATTACTATCTGCTGTCTTCATCCCCCACCCCACCCCACCCCACCCCCGACTTCATTTAATGTTAATTCTTTTGGACATCCCTACCAGGGGGAAAAAAAAAAACAGGAGCAAAAATTCCTGTACATCTCAATATCCTGCCTACTTTATAAGAGCGGAAGAGTTCAACACAGTAAGAGCAGAAAAAAAAAAAAAGTGACGTGAACAACCTTGATCCAAAATACAGCTCGTCTTAGTCTAATTTTAGGCCTGCTGGTTCCGACGGTCTGTTTGATGCAAAAGGAAGTTTGGAAAAACAAAACAATTTATAAAGTTCTCTTAAAAACAGCTGAAATTTATTTCAAATCACACACACGAGTCCTGGGAGTTTAAGATTGGAGGATTTTGTGGAAGGGTGCCAAAACCTCACTCCACCGGGTTTGATCATGGCAATTACCTGGGCGCACTGAAGTTTTGGGGTGACTTTCAATCTTTCAAGAATTAGCCCGAAAAAGGTTTGAGTGCAAAAGCGTTGGAAAAAAAAAAAAAAACCAACGCCACCCCCTCCAATTTCACCTGAGAAGACGCAAACGCTCACCTCCTGGCCCCAGATCAAACCCCGACTCATCAAAGTTCTGGTTTGAGGCACACAGCCCTCAATGCTCCCTCCCCCAGCACCCCGGAAAACTCGCGTTTCTACCAACGTGGGGATCTGTGGAAAAAAGGGCAGAGACTTGCAAGTTGAGAAAAGAGTGAAAGGGGGGACTCGAAGTCACATTCCTAAGCAATGAACCTGGCGGAGAAAGCGACTGAAAAGTAAAAGGAAGGTTGGGGGGAAAAAAATGAAAGAAGTTAAAAGTGGGGTCAAGAGGCAGAAACATGAGGAGGCAGAGCCCGGGTGCGCCACGGTCCGGACAGGGCTGGGTCTGGCAGCCCTGAGAGCTCCCCAGCCCAGCAGGCTTCCCATTTCGGGCTAACGCCGGAGAAGAAAACACCCCTAAAGGGAGCAGACAATGAAGCCACCGCCCCAGGAGCCGCGGCGTCGGGGCTCGCAGGTGGCGGCTTCCCGGCCCAGCTCGGGCAGCCCCGCGGCTCCCGGGGCCGCTCCCGCCCGCCAGGCCGCCGAGAGGGGAAGAGGAAGGAGAGCGGCGGCTCGCACCCCCGGGGCCTGTCTGCACACTTACCCCAGGCGAGGAAAAGGTCCCCGCCCCAAGCGAGGCGCCTCCGTCCGAGCTCCCGGCGGGCTGCGGAGCCGCCCCGGGCCAGGCGCGCGGCGGGGAGGGGAGGGACGGGGCGGCGGGGCGGGAAGACGAGTCCCGCTGGAGCGCGGCCGCTGCTGCACCGCTAGGCCAAGCTGCAGCCGGAGCCCTGCGGGCGTCGGGGAGGGGAGGGGAGGGAGCCTTCGGCAATGGCGACGGCCCGGGCTGGAGGGGAAGCGGAACAACCGCCGCCGCTGCGCGTGGCCACAACCCTGGGGAGGAGGGAAACGGCGGGGAGCGGGCAGGGGCGGGGCGCCCCGCCCCACCGCCGGGTGGCTCCGGCCAATGGGCGCGCTCGCGCGGGGGCCGCTGGGAGTTGTAGTCTAAGGATGGGCAACGCTTGCTTTTTTTTTTTTAAGAGTGATCTTGTATTAAAAGGAATTGCCAGACTCTCCGTCGGTTGAGCATTGTCTCCAATCCGGTTTTGCCAACTGCACTTACCAAGGACGATTGATGATATACAAATCTGACCCAAGGGCATCTGTTTCTTAGAATCCATCCATTTTGATTTTTCCCTGACCTACAAACTCTGTTTTGCTTCTAAGTCCCATCTTTGGGAATCCCAGACTTCCAGATTTTATCCATAGAGAAGTTCATCAGTGGATTCACTTGTTGTACAAAAAGTTAATCATATAATGAGTGCCATATGCCATTAGGCATCACACGCAGTGAACATGGTTGACCTGGCCTGTGGCGCTTACAAATAGAACACAAGAGTAAGTTGCGATATTGGTATGAGATTGCCTGGGATAGGCAGCCAGAGCCAGCCTCCTGAAGGAGACGACCTTCAAGCTAAGAACAGGCAGAGACAGCCAGGAGAAACATTCAGGGGAAGGCATGCCAGGGAGTGGGCAGTAGAAACGGTCCTGCTACGGTCAGTGGAGGAGGCCTGGGTAGCTAGAGTTTATGGCAATAAGGGCAGAGTGTAAGGGAAACCCTGGAAAGACAAGATTCAGACCATGAAGGAACTTGAATACCATGGAGACAAGTCTGCACTTCATCCCAAAAGGGTACTAAGCAAGGAATGAGTAACCTGCTATACACTCTAAAATAACTGCAGTGCTAATGGAGACTGGAGTACAGAGATAGCAAAATAGGAGAGAAATGAACTGGGAAGGCAGACAGCAGTAGTGGGCATGAGCTTGTGAAGTGGGCACTGGGTACAGTGGTTAAGATGCAACTTGGGGTACTTATATCCCATATCAGGATGCTGGGGCTTGAGTCCCAGCTCTGCTTCCAATTCCAGCCTCCCGCTAAAATAAACCGTGAAAAGAAACAGGTGATACTTCACGTTAATGGGCCCCCTGCTACTCACATGGGAGATTTAGACTTGCCCAGCCCAGCCAAACATGGCATTCTAGTAAGGACAAGACATCACAATCCTCTCTCTAGCTCTCTCTTACTCTTTGATAAAATTTTATAAGAAATGGGGAGAGGGAGTCAAATTGTGCTTATCTCCATAGGTGGAGCAAAACCCACAACTGATAGGAAAGCTACAGGAGAGCAACACAGCACACTTGACCTGAAAAACACACAGGAGCACGGGACATCCTTCCAGAAGTGTAACTAAGCTGTGAAAAGGAACCAAACAGAATGTCCACAAGAACTGATGCCAATGCCAATGACTGCACTGAACAGCAGATTACACAACATTGAATGGAGCTGTAAAGTGGAAACCTATTGAGAGATGCGAGGCTGGCAGTTTTCTGGGAGAAAGCTTAAGAGACAGACAAACTGGAGAGGCTTACCATTCCCTAAGGAGGATTTCAGGAGAGAAAACAAAAGAGGCCACATATGATGAAGCATTGGATAACAATCCAGAACTGATTAAAGACAAGAATCTTCTTTGGGGCCAGTAAGGTAGTAGGGGGTAAAGCCTCTATCTGCAATGCCAGCAACTCATTGGGGTGCTGGATTGGGTTCCAGCTACTCCACTTTTGATCCAGCTCTCTGCTGATGGCCTGAGACAAGCAGCAGCAGACAGTTCACGTGCCTGGGCTGCTGACACCTATGTGGGAGACCTGGAGGAAGCTCTCGGTTTCAGCCTGGACCAGCCCTGGTTTTTGCAGCCACCTAGGGAGCAAACCAGTAAATAGCTCTCTTTGTCTCTTCCCCTCCACCCTGTATATCTGACAAAAAAAAAAAAAAAAAGACAAGACTGTCCAGGTTCAGGAAACAAACTGAATATAAGTAAGATACTTCAAGAGTTGGGGTGCAGCAGATAAAGCTGCTGCCTCTAACATTGGCATCCCAAATGGGCTCCAGTTCATGTTCCAGCTACTCTACTTTGAGTCTACCTCCCTAACGGCCTGAAAAAGGGAATGGAAGCTGGAGTATTTGGGCCCCTGTCACCCACGAGGGAGACCCAGATGCAGCTCCTGGCCCCTGTTTCTGGCCTGGCTCAGCCCTGACTGTCTCTCTCTCTGTGTAACTCTGACTTTATCAGATGAATAAGAGTAAAAGATATGATGAAGCAAAAACAAAGATGCTACTAACTGACATCTATTATCTACTAAAGGAACTCCCTCAAAGATCCAGTTCATTAGGAAAATTATTCCAGAAGGAAATTGTAAGATGGAAAAAATCAGCTCCAGAGTAAATACCTACCTCTTATCACAGATTAGGACAATCCAGCCTACCAAACCCTACACCCAATTACCATTCAGCTGCATAATTTATAAATTGGAATGGTAACAGGTAGGTTCACTTCACCTTAATTTTTTAAATCTCCATTATTATCAATCAGCATCAATTATCAATATGTCACTTTATATAAGCTGAAAATCTGGCCAGTATACTTAAACCACACACATCCATATACACACACCCTCAAGTCACATCCACTGAGGACCACCACCTGAAAATAAGGTAACTTGTTTCTCTGTTCCTGCCATCTCAAATAACTTATCACAATACTTGAAAACAAATCTTCCCCAGCTATAGGCAACTGCCTGAGTTGCCTTGTTCCTAGGCATGTGTAACACTGTTGGGAGAAAAGCAGTCAACAAAATGGCTGGCATTCTGGGCCTGGTTCATGCTACCTGTGTTAACTATACCAGTATACAAACAGTTGTCTATTTTTTCATCTTAAATCTGTAACAAGGGTAAGGGGGAGCCCCAGCCTTGCTACCATAACTGTGTGCCAAACTAGGCATAGGCTGGAGGGAGGCCACTGAGGGCTACTGAGGTATATAAAATGGTTGCTAGAGACCTCCACAGAACAGGTCACTGCACATGCATGTCTGCCTGACAGCGGCAAGCAACTGATGGAGTAGAGGTGAGAGCCCAGAGGTTCCATCAGGGCTGGGCCACTATGCTTGGCATGCATAGTATAGCTAGGTCAGGGGATGAGCTGGGTTAGGGAGCCTGGGAGGATCTCCCAGGGCAGGTACACAAGGAATTGGGAATGTGGAGGGTAGGACAGGCCAAGATGTAACACTCACTGGTATGTGTGAATGCCGGATCAGAGGGCCAGCTTGGTAGAGATTCTGGAAGGGAGCCCTGTCTAGGCCAAGGTACCTGCTACTGGTGAGTATTAGAGCTGAGTCTGTGGACAGACTGGGCCAGGCTGCTGCACCCATCCATACAAGTAAAGGTCAGGGTGTTGTTGGGTAGAGGGGCAGGCCAGGTCACTTCTACAATTGCTACCACACATGAAAATCAGGTTTGGGAACTGGTCTAGTAGGGGATCCACAAGGTTCCCCCCAAGTAGGCAAAGCTAAGGCTATGGGCAGGGCAGGCCAGGCCAGGTCACAGTACATGCTACAGTACATAGGAGCCAGGTCTGGGGTATGGCCTAGTAGGGACTCAAAGGGTTTCCCTGACTGGAATGCTGCACCTGCAGGCACCTATGCAAGCTAGGTCTGGGGGCAGGCCGGGCCAAGTCATAGCACCTGCTGGCATGCATGACTACCACATTTAGGTGCAGGCCAGGTCCATCCCTGGCACCTACATGCTGGACAGGATAGGCCATAACACTTACCAGTATGCACGAGAGCCAGGTCTGGGTGTGGACCAAGCCTGAATGCAGCACCTAGCAGCACACACACAACTGCCAGGTCTGGGAGTGATCTGGGCCAGGCTGCAGCACCCACCGGTACACAAGCTGGGGGACAGTTTAGCAGGGGTTTGCAGAATCAACTTGTCCAGGCCCAGGTACCCCCTGTGAACCTGAGTCATGTAATTGGGGCAGGCTGGGTTGAGCCATTGCTACCCATAGATGCCCATGACAACTGGGTCTGAGGAACAGCCTGGTAAATGTTCAAAGGGTCACCCCAACTGGACCACTGCACTTGCCAATGTACTTTAGAGCCAGGCTGAAGGTAGGCCAAGAGATGCTCACAGAATCTGGGACTGAGCTAAGTTGGTAGTGGTTCTGAAGGGGAACACTTGCTGATCATACTGATTTGCATAAGCAGAAATGTCCAGGAGATTGAGCAGGTCCAGACCAGGCCACAGCACTCACCATGGAGCATGAGAACTGGAGCCGGGAGCAGGGCTGAGAATGGGCCCCCTGAATTACCTTAGACTGATAGGATCCTTAATTCTAGAGAACATCCCATGGAGTGTAGTATGATTGTGGAGCACCTGTTGTGGGATTGGGTCACCCCAGTGCTGACTCCAGGGAAGGATGAAGAGTGTGCTTAGATGCACATGATAGACAAGACAAGTGGACCCTGTAATCAAACAGAAGAGCCACCCCTTCAAAAGATGGAAAGAAAGGCAAGTGGCACAGCACTTCAGGCTAAGTTCTATGGAAAGCACCCGAGCTTGTGGATACTCTGAGGTAGACATGGACAACCTACAGATCTCAGAACTTACACAGAGAGAACAAGGAAAGAGCCAAGGATAGATGGAAAACATCAACAATTAATGATCATTCAACAACCTCCCCTCCAAGGCCCCTTAGGCGACGGTATAGACCATCTTTATTCTCCCCATTGTAGTCTGACAATAAGGAACAACACACCACCTCACATTTCACTCATCCTCTTCCCAAACCCTCTCCTTCCCTAACAAAGGCCCACATGTATCTGCAACCCCCATCCCCTCACCTCTGCAATGAATGTTAAACCATTAATGATTGTTTATGAAATAATCTTTAAAAAGATAAAAATGAGGGCCTGGCACAGTAGCCTAGCAGCTAAAGTCCTCGCGTTGCATGC